AATATGTACCAGCTACAACAGTTACCCATATACAGTTGTGTTCAAAATAATAGCAGTGTGTTGAAAAAGTGAATAAAGCTTAAATCCTTCTAATAGCTTTTATTTCCATACACACAAATGCATTGGGAACACTACACATTCTATTCCAAATCAAAACATGAAGAAAAATATATCACATTTGTATTGTTCATCTAAAAAAATTGAAGAAAAGTGAATATTAGACTGTAAAAAATAGCAGTGTTTGTATTCTTCTTTACAAACTCAAACATTCACTATATAAACTGAAAGTGTTTGAAGATTTTGCTTTCCTTTGAATCACTTAATGAATATTAGTTGTATAAGCACTGTTTCTGGGAACTGCTGTACATCTGTGTTGCATGGAGTCAACCAACTTCTGGCACCTGTGATCAGGTATTCCAGCCCAGGATGATTGGACTACATTCCACAATTCTTCTCTATTCTTGGTTTTGCCTCAGAAACTGCATTTTTGATGTCACCCCACAAGTTTTCTATTGGATTAAGATCCGGGGATTGGGCTGGCCACTCCATAAACGTCAATCTTGTTGGTCTGGAACCAAGATGTTGCACGTTTACTGGTGTGTTTGGGGTCGTTGTCTTGTTGGAACACCCATTTCAAGGGCATTTCCTCTTCAGCATAAGGCAGCATGACCTCTTCACGTAATCTGATGTATTCAAACTGATCCATGATCCCTGGTATGCGATACATAGGCCCAACACCGTAGTATGAGAAACATCCCCATATCATAATGCTTGCACAACCATGCTTCACCGTCTTCACAGTGTTACTGTGGCTTGAATTCAGTGTTTGGGGTCGTCTGACAAACTGTCTCCGGCCACTAGACCCAAAAAGAACAATCTTACTTTCATCAGTCCACAAAATGTTGCACCATTTCTCTTTAGGCCAGTCAATGTGCTCTTTGGCAAATTGTAACCTCTTCAGCACATGTCTTTTTTTCTACAGTGGGACTTTGCGGGGGCTTCTTGCAGATAGCTTGGCTTCACATAGGCATCTTCTAATTGTAACAGTACTCACAGCTAACTTTTAGACCTTCTTTGATCTTCCTGGAGCTGATTGTTGGCTGAGTCCTTGCCATTTTGGCTATTCTTCTATCCATTCGAATGGTAGTTTTTTTGCTTTCTTCCACGTCTTTCAGGTTTTGGTTGCCATTTTAAAGCATTTGCGATCATTTTAGCTGAGCAGCCTATCATTTTCTGCACTTCTTTATATGTTTTCCCCTCTCCAATCAACTTTTTAATCAAGGTACGCTGTTCTTCTGAACAATGTCTGGAACAACCCATTTTCCTCAAAATTTCAGAGAGAAATGCACTGTAACCAGCATGTACAACATTTGCTGCCTTCCTTCCTTAAATAAGGGCAATAATTGCCACCTGTTCCAAAGAATGAATGACCTCACTAATAGAACTCCACACTGCTATTATTTTGAACATGCCCCATTAAATCAGTGATTCCATTACACAGAATCAGCAGCATGCATGTTATGACTGTTGGGTCTGTTGGATTTCTATTACTCTACTACACCTGCTAGTAAATTATTTGCCATGTAGAAATATCATTTCTACCAAAAACCTCATCGGTCTGTCTAGTAGTCACAAGAATTCTTCACCCTGCCTCCCTTGTCTAAGTGCTACAAAAATTGTCCACAATAAGTCTTGATTAGCCAGGGCGTGCCTACCAGGATGTCCAGAAACAGTTCCACAGCCCTGGATACCTGAAGTATATTACACCACTCGCTTCTAAATGTCACACCGCAGATCAAGCTTGGATCTAGGTTACCAGGTGGCACATTTTAATCGGAAATAAATATAAAAAGTTAATAATATAAAGTTGGTATTAGCCAAGGGAAAATGGGCAACTGCTGCATTATGCAGCTTTCAAGGACCAGCCAGGGTAAGATAGGAAATATGCCAAAAAAGAGTTCCATATCTCCGGCTGGTGAAGGTGCGTCTGCACAACCTGTCCGACACAATGTTCCCGCAGGGGCACCACTGTTCTGGGACTTCCTAGTCACATAATCCTGGTAATTCTCCTGGCCAGTTAAAGGTTTTCATGACCTGGCTCTCCGCCATGCTCTGACTGGGAGAAGCAGACAAAATCCCCTGTGTTCTCCATGGGTCATAATTAGTTGGTAGAAGGCTAGCCCATAGTCCCCTCCAAAAGCCCCTGTCCCGGTTGGGTCTTTCAAATGGTATGTCTGTGTTCACCCACCACGAAATATGCCTGGCTATGCAGTGTGGCTGAAGTGTGTAAATCACAAAAACTGATTGAACAAAATTACATATTTCTGGATAATTAAAACAATTCAAATCATGTTTTAACTGCGCATTTACCTATTTGCCCGGAGTTTCTTCACGGGTGTCTTTTACCGTATATCCGTCAATGATCTCCACAATTTTCCCGTATAAGTATCTGAAAGGCAGTAAATATTGTTCTCCGCACACATCCTGATGTTACCAGTGGTCCCTAAGTACATTAAAGATTAATAACATGAAAATGCAATAATATTACAAACAAAGCTGGGCTTGGTATATAAAAAAGCCTTTGTTTGCTCTAGATAATCACTGGTGTATTTTACTGACATTTAGTTTTTAAAATGTTGTTTGTAAAGTGTGTTTATTCTGTGATAAGAAAATCAGAAAAGTAAAAGGAAACTGCATCAAATATAGATTCCTAGCCAAACAATCAGAAAATTAACTGATTAAAGGATATCTAAACCCAAAAACAAAAGTGTAATAAAATGCAGCTCACCAGTATTTTGTGATGGCTGCATTTATTTTCTTATGTAGGCTTAGAGCATTTTCAGCAAGTACAGAAAGTACCCGTTGATCTTTTCCAGAAATGTTGTGTCTTTGTCACTTACTGTAAACTGAACGGAAAGCACAAAAATAACACCAACAATTTTTTTTTACAGCGCTATGTGTAATGCTAACAAAATAAAATACTGTGCTAACAAAATCAATAAAGTAAATGTGACCACATAAAAAGTAAACTTATGCCACTAATATACCACAGTTACTGACTGTATGGCTTCAATAAAGTATCTGTGCAATTATTTCCATGCAAGTGCTTCTGTGCAATCTTCTAAGACACAACCATGTGATTTTTGTGCTCGATTCCAATGATCCTCCACTACCACCACCACCACCACCACAGAGTACTCGCCAGATGGATATGGCGAATCTCTATAGGTAAGTCATAATGCGCTTCTTATACTGGATCTTGTTTTGGCACCATCCACTGCTCACCAGGAATATATACTCCACTCTGCTTTTACTTGTATTCCATCAACATATTATCATACCACATAGGGGAGGGAATAGAAGGAGACTGCCATAGTGTAAAAACTTTAAAACACTTCATTAAATAACAAATCCATATAAATCTACTCACAATAGAAGTGCTTAGCCCAGAAGTAAGGTATCTGTGCATAGGTAATACATTATGTGCAATACTCGGGTGCCTGCTCCATACCATGTACTCATTTATCTCATTTTATAATATTTTGGTACTGAAAAGCACAAAAATGTTGTCTTCTTTCTAAATTATGTTCTGTAAATTACAAAAAAGAAAACTAATGCAGGAACCTCATCTAAGGACTGGTAAGTTGTAATATATTACTTTGTTTATTTTGGTTTGGAAATACTATACTCTAAAGTGGATCTCCAGTTCAAACGTTTTTTTTTTTTTTTTAAATATTTTTAGTGTGACAGGTTTTTATTGCTATATGTTTCTTTTGGTCACAGAGCTAAAAGTTAGTCCTACTGAACCATTCCACCTTATTATCCAGGTAAGTGTGGTTGGGTGTTCACCAACACCTCTCCTCATGAAGTTTCATGCAAAGTTTCCAAATGCTAATGTAGCAAGTAAATGAATGACCCTCCCAGTAATGCTATGAATAGGCTGCAGCTAGAGGGAGCTCTAGTGATTTGTGGTTTGACTTCAGGAGACTAATTCCAAAAGGCTCACATAAAAGTAAGCAATACATGTTTTGTGCTCTCCTCTTTTATACAGATAAGTCACACTTTGTTTATGCTATCTTTGCACAGTTTTGTGTATGTTCTGACGTTCACTTTCTTGTTTAGTATTTTATATGCTGGTAATGGTAATTCTCTAATACATAATAATACGTTTTTACACATTGCCTGTGCTGCCACTATAAAGAAAGTAATTATTTGTATAATGTGATCCATTTCTGTTTGACATAATAAACTCAGAATGCAAGTGAGCAACACGTGTTTTGTGCTCTCCTCTTTGATACAGATACTGCAAGCTGCATCTTTGTAATACCTCGCACTCAGATCACCGATAATCCTGTAACACTAACACTCACTACAGTTGTCCAAAATAGAAAAATGTCTTTGTTAACCACTTCAAGTCTGGACACTTTCACCACCTTCCTGTCCAGGCCAATTTTCAGCTTTCAGCGCTATCACACTTAGAATGACAATTGTGTGGTCATGCAACACTGTACCCATATGCATTTTTTAGCATTTTTTTGAGACAGATAAAACTTTATTTTGGTGGTATTTATTCACCACTGAATTTCAATTTTTTTTGCTATATAAATGAAAAAGTCCAAACATTTTGAAAAAAAATGTTTTTCTATTTTGCAAATAAATAATCTCTCTTCATAAATCTTGGCCAAAATGTATTCAGCTATCTTTTTAGTAAAAAAAAACCCTCCAAATTAGTTTATAACCAAAAATTATAATTTTTAAAAAAATGTTTTTACATTTTTATTTAATTTTTTAATATTATTATTTATGTTTTTTTTAACATACTGTCACACTAGCAGTACAGTTTCACCATAGTGACACTGTACTACTTGTGGGGGGTGATGAAGATTTTTTATTTATTTATTTTTTTTACACTGATTGCTTTTACACCCATAAAGGCTGTAAAAGCAATCATTTCTCTTTCCCTCTGGCTGCATTCTTGCAGCCATTGAGAAATACTGTGAGAGCTGTGATTGGTCACAGCTTGTCAAATGGTACAAGGCTGCTGTGAATAGCCTTGTACCATGTGACCTCTGATCATTCACAGATCTCACTAGTGGTAAGCAATGATGTCTGCAAGTGACATCTTGCTTACTGCTATTCATTGGCTAATCAGTTATCACATGATCGGGGCCTCACACAGAGGTCCTGTACAGTGATCGGTGTTCTGTGTCCTCCGTTCGCGGCGCCACACGCTACCAAGGAGCATGCACAGGCAGGAAGCGGGAGGATGTTTATAAATGGCCACCTGCCTCTGCACTGCTCCCGGCTGTTTATGTACATGGGCCAGATGGGAAGTGGTTAAAGTTCTCCAATGGATTTTAAATTCTTGTGCACTTCTCACTGGCACGGGAAAACAAATAGAGAAGTTAAGTAAAAAGTGAAGGGAACCAGAGTTAGTTCTGTTTTCTTTTGTTCAACTTTGTTCAAATACGTCTGTGTATATTGGTGATTTTTTTTGTCAGCAAGTGACATCTTGCTTACTACTATTCATGTGATCACTGATTGGCCAATCAATGATCACATGATCGGGACCTCACACAGAGGTCCCATACAGCAATCGCTGTTCATGCGATCCCAGGGAGCGTGCACAGGCAGGGAATGTGGGAGGATGTTTATAAATAGCCACTCACAATGGAAATTAAATGGTTCAGAATTTAGAATTTTTTACTTTTAATAGCATAATGAACATTTTCCGCCAGCTGAGGCTGAATGCTGGGGGGAGAGAGGGGGAGAAGCGTCCTTTCAATTGCAGGAGGCAAATGGAGAAGTTTTGTTCCTGTATATGCCTCAGCCGCCGTCCCTCCTGTCCAAATGTAAAACAGTATGACAGGGAGGCCACACAGGTCCCCTGGAGCATGGGGCGGGGTCACCATTGTGACCCCCTGACACTACATCAGTGGTTGAGGGGATGTCGTAAAAACACTTCTTAACTATGGGGTTTTACTGCCCACCCAAACCACAAATGTAAACAAGCCTTTACTGTTGCTACTTTCACACTTATGCAATGTGGTTTACCTGCACCGAGGGTGCAGCGCAGTGCACCTGCAGCTTTCCTGCAGGTTAGTTGTGCTTTGACATAGATTTCTGCATTCAGGAGATTTTGTACACTTCAGAAAGTGCACCAAACCTGTAGGATATAATAGAAGTGTGTTTTCCTGGTTTGAGGTCGAGGGCCATATCAGAGGGCTCCAAGGGCCACATGTGGCCCGTGGGCCACAGAATGAGCATCCCTGTTCTCAGCCAAAAAACATTTAACAAGCTGTCATTCTTACTTCACACCATTGTTCCCTGCACTGTTATTAAATAATACCAATAAGAAAGTCATAGTATTAACTTCCTAAAGCAAAAGATTATATGATTTATGGTTTGTAAACTTAATTGTGTTCTTCTCTTTATTGGTTTGGCATCATTTTTATACTGAGTTTATAAAATAATCTGGACTGTAGTGTATAACTGTGTTACCCAGCTCTATTGTAATAGAACTGCAAAATGATCAATTATATGCAAGATAACTTTGTATACTCGCAAGTTATACTGTAGCTAATTGCACATTTCACAAACATTAGTAATGGATATATTTCACAAAAGTGCTAGTTTTGAAGCTTGGCTAATGGTACTCTTGCTGTTTTCTTTGAACAATGCTATTAGTGACCCATCAAGGCTTTAAATAAAATGTTATGAATATGAATAAATGATGTCTATGACTTACAACAATCCATTGTTTCTACCTATACAATAGTAGCAATCATGCTTACTAGAGAGACATTATTTTGTTCATTTCCATATTTTACTGTGAAGGTTTATTATAGAAAAATATAGGCACATATAGACAGACATCAACAAGGGGACCTTGATGCTTCAAAATTCTACCCAATATGGGCAGAGTAGGTTAAGCTTGGTACACACTACAAGTTTTTTTCTGTTCACTCGACAGATCACTGTGCCAACACAAGCGATGTTAGTGCAACGATCTCTCCAGCTCACCACCCCCCCTTTTAGATTGCACTGATCAGCGCTTGCAGCTATTGACTGAATGCTGATCAGATGCTGCTTTTCCAGCATGTCCCTTCAACAAAAGTCAGTCATTGAACTGGCTTCTGTCAGACAAACTGCTGTACACAGCCTGGTGAAGCGGCCAGGTTTTGGACAATGTGTATCCATCTCATGGTCAAAACAATGGAGACTTATGAAAACTGTAGGATTTGTGTAAAATGAAGTAATATGTTTACTCTAAACATTGCTGAAACTCAATATGTTATATATAATATGATCCCACATTTAATGCTGAATACAGATTTATACAATTCAATATATCTATTCAAACAGGAATAGTACTTGCTTTTATGTGCAAAATTACAATATCTGGTTGGATGGCACCATAGAACTCGATTGGCATTTGCCATTGAACACTAGAATTCACAGGTCCGCCACTGGTGCCCTGTACTTATCACAGATGAGAGCAGGTTTACCCTAAGCACATGTGACAGACGTGAAAGGGTCTGGAGAAGCCATGGAGAATGTTATGCTGCCTGTAACATCGTTCAGCATGACTGTTTTGTGGTGGGTCAGTGATGGTCTGGGGAGGCATATCCATGGAGGGATGCGCAGATCTCTACAAGCTAGACAATGGAACCCTGACTGCCATTAGGTATCGGGATGAAATCCTTGGACACATTGTCAGACCCTACGCTAGCGCAGTGGGTCCTGGGTTCCTCCTGGTGCACGACAATGCCCAGTCTCATGTGGAGAGAGTATGCAGACAGTTTCTGGATGATGAAGGAATTGATACCATTGAATGGCCCCCATGCTTGCCTGACCTACATCCAATAGAACACCTCTGGGATATCATGTTTCAGTCCATCTGATACCGCCAGGTTGCACCTCAGACTGTCCAGGAGTTCAGTGATGCCCTGGTCTAGATCTGGGAGAAAATACCCGAGGACACCATGTGTTGTCTCATTAGGAGCATGCCCCAATGTTGTCAGGCATGCATACAAGAACGTGGGGGCCATACAAACTACTGAGTACCATTTTGAGTTGCTGCAATGAAATTTCAGCAAAATGGACTAGCCTGCTGCATCATTTTTTACTTTGATTTTCGGTGTGTCTTTGAACCCTCTGTAGGTTGATCATTTTCATTTCCATCAAACTATGGGGCATCCTTACGTTACTAACACATTACCCAGTCCATATCAGTATAGGTATCCAGGATGATATTTTCCCCATTGAGATCTGATGTGTTTTCAAAGTGTTCCTTTAATTTTTTTTGAGCAGAGTACATCCTCTATGCTTGCCTGTTTAGATGGCCATAGCACACAGCTCATGAAAGATGATGGGGTCGCTCTGGTGCAGCCACAATGATACTTTGCTCCCCATGTTTCTGAAGCCTTACTGAAGACACTGTTAAAGCAGTCCTTGCACTAAAAGGCAAAACCCACATTAGGCCTCCCTCCCTCGCTCATATAAAATCTTCATTTAATTGTAATAACATTTATAAAATGTGGGTAAAAAATATGTTATTTTGCCCCTGCTACCCACCAGGGTGACATCCTAATCCTTTCCAGCAAGATCCTGAGAATGATTAGTATCCTCAATCTTGAAAGAGGACCCTACATATCTGTGGTAGAGTTTCATCTTGTGAAATTTGAGATTCTTAACGCTCCCAGGGTCTCAGTGGAAAGATTGTGACATCATCTTCTGTAGAGTGGAAGGCAAAGATAAGGTCCTACCTTTTTTATTTTTTCACAGGTGTTTTATAACTATCATCTGGCATTTTATATGAGGGATGGAGGCCTAACTGAGTGAGTGAACCTTAACTCTTAGTGTAATGCATGAAGCACATAACTAGTGACACATGTATGGAAACAAATATTATTCTATAATCATCATCATCTTTGTCACATTTCTTTGACTTGTGAAGGAGCAATACAAAAGCTACTTACATACTGTAAACTTCAGCAAAGACCCTCCTGACCTCTAGTTACTTCAAGTCATGATGGGTCCATAAATACAAGAGCACTGCAATCAGGGTCAGATGACCAAGCAAAGAGTATGTCCAAACTCAAGTGCCACCTGCTGTGTATAGGTATATTTATTGACTTGCAGACAGACAGCTGCATCAACAGTCATAAATACAAGCAGTGTGCACATATTGTTTACTTGTGAAGTGTGAAGTTGCTTGCCTATTACTGTAATATTGACACTGTTTTGTTCACTGGATATTTGCTTCACAGTGCTGGATGATTCTGAAAAGACAAAAACAAAGTTGGCTTTGATACCAAAATCATGCAAATATTTGGATTTTTCATAACTAAATTAATGTGCTACATTGAACCTGCTATGAAGCAATAAGGTAGTGTTACAGAGCAGATTAAAGCCAGCCAATCATGGATCAATCCAGCGATCAATTCAATCCATGTATGGGCAGACTGGTTGTACAGACGTCAGTCTACTGAGCTCTACTATAGCTGACAGTGCTGATCAGTGTATGCTGATGGTGGCGAGTCTCCCCACTGTCAGAATATTAAGGCTCAGCTCAAGTGGTTCCCCCATCCACTTTGAATGTGTGGATGGGAGAATCAGGTAATTTTTTTCATTCAAACCCCTGGTTGAACAAAAGAAAGATGATGAAAAAGAAGACGATTGTATGGGCTGCCTAAGACGTTGCAGAGATTTAACTTTTTTTTATATTCATGCTGCCATTAAGGTGAACAATCAATAGTTTGATAATTTTTTTCAAACCTCTACTAGATATACAGTATATACACACAAACACCAAAAGATAAAGTAACACTCAAGAGCCTTGAAAGGTGAATGAGCAGTGATAAGGCTTATTTCAATGTTTCAAGGGGGCACAAGCTTGCCTTCCTCAGGAAGAGCTCATCATCTGTCTATGAGTGCTGCCTTATCTTTTGGATTGCATTAGTACTTCATGCTTTGCTGAGCATCCAGGCCCATTTTCTGTTGAATATGTGTGCCGGGGGCAACTACTGGATTATTTCTATATATATATATATATATATATACATACACACACACTAATGGTCAAAAGGTTTAGAACACTCCCATTTTTCCAGTTTGTATTGAAATGTAAACACTTCATATCCAGCTTATAACCCGAAATGGTGTAAAGGTCAGCTGTTTACTAAAAAAAAATTTAAGGTTCAGGAAGCAGTAATAGGTTAACAATTTTTCTGCAAAAATGTAAGTAAATTAAGCCTTGCATGTTTATGCTAACAATTCTTACAGGTTTCCCAACTACACCCTCTAAAGCAAAATTTGGACAGTGTTGTACTGCAGAAACTGGAGGAAACTCAGGAGGAGCTCTGGCAGACCCAAAAACTACAACAGAATCAGAAGACAAGTTTCTGACAGTCAACAGATTGCGTGACAGACGGCTCACAGGACAACACTGATTGAAGTAAGCAAGACTCAGTTTAAACTGTGAAGAGAAGACTGTGAGCTGCAGGTTTGACAGGTCAAGTGGATGTAAGAAAGCCATTGCTAAGATGGCAAAATAAGAAAAAGAGGCTTTCCTGAGCCATGAAGCACTGCCAGTGGACCAGTGAAGACTGGAAGAAGGCCTTTGGATCGATGAATCAAAATTTGAGATCTTTGG